ATAATAGTTATCAGTACTGACTATGAGGGTTGGAAATGTAAAGGTAGGTGTTTTGTAGCAAAAGGAGGGAAGTGATTGACTTTGCAGTGCAGGAGCGGATGTCCCTGGGACCATCAATAGAGAAAAGCTGAGTGCAGGACTCTACCCAGACAAACAGTGATTCCAGAGATGAAGGCAGAGACGATGATGTGGAGAGATGGAATGGCTGGGGACTCTAGACCCAGAGATGGAGAGGGGCTGTATGCTGATGACCGGGTGGGGGAGGGGGGGCAGGCTTGCAGGGTGTAACCTTTGGTTGGTTGATGATGCATGGAGGGGATTGTAACCATGGCAATGAAACGATATACAATAGGATGAATGTAAAGCTTATTGTTCTCACTTGTAAACTATCACATAATACACAAAACTTTTTTTTTTAATGTCATTTAAGCTGAAATCAGAAGAACAAGTAGGAGGGAAACACATTTTAGAAAGAAGAAACAATATTCCCAATACTAAGAGACTAAAATAAAATCTGACAACTACATTGTTGTTGTTGTTGTTAGGTGCCATCGAGTTGGTACTAGCCCATAGAGAATTTATGCACAGCAGAATGAAACACTGCCGGATCCTGGGCCAACCTCACTACTGTTGCCACACTAGAATCCATCGATGCTGCCATTTGGCCAATCCATCTCGTTTGGGGGTCTTTCTTTTTTTAATCTGACCCTTCACCTTACCAAACATGATATCCTTCTCCAGCGACTAGTCCCTCCTGACAATATGTCTGAAGCATGAGAGACAAAGTTTGGCCATGCTGGCCTCCAAGGAGCACTCTGGCTGCACTTCTTCCAAAACGGATCTATTGGTTCTTTTGTCAGCCCATGGCTCTTTCAATATTCTCCTCAAACACCATAACTCAAAAGCATCAATTTTTCTACGGTCTTCCTTATTCACTGTCCAGCTTTCACTGTGCATTATGCATTGACAAATCCTAGCAGTTAGACAATGACTGCATACATTAAGCACTTAATAAGTGTTTATCTCTGAGGTTTGGACTCTCCATTGACAAATTAAATAATTATAGAAACTAGAAAATCATCCATGTGCTCTCCTTGCTTTGACTTAGGAAGAATATAAGTTCTCTTTTCTATTACATCAATACCTGCCTAAAGTAGCCACTTCTGGTGTGGTACACAGCACTGGACTGTGAACCACAGGTTGGCAGTTCAAGTCCACCAGCTGCTCCTCAGAAACCGTACGCACAGTCTCTTTGAGTTGGAATCTTCTAGATGACACTTAACAGAAACTACATAAAAGAATTCATTCATGTTGGTGCTGTTAAATGTTATTGAGTCAATTCTGACTCTGTAATCCTAAACAAAACAGAAAGAAACATTGCGTGGTAATTCACCAGACTCATAATTAATATTGTTTGAGTTCATTATTGTAGTCCTTCTCATTGAAGGTATTCCTCTATTTTGATAATCCTGTACTAAGTATGATGTCCTTTCCAGGGACTAGTACCTCCTAATAGCGTGCCCAAAGTACATGAAATGAAGTCATCTTATTCTTGCTTCTAAGGAGCATTCTGACTGTACTTCTTCCATAGCAGATAAATTCATTCTTCTTACAGTTTACAGAGGATTAAATATTCTTCAACAACATAATTCAAGTGAATCGACTTCCACTATATCCCATGCCGATTAATACAGAATAACTTTGGAGGATTTCTTGGCCATCATAATTCATGGCTGATTTCTTTCTGGTTTTGTTTTTTTTTATTATTATTTATTTCTAGCCAATTCCCATCTGTTCTGTAGTTTCACTATGAATCTGTCATAAAAGAGATTCACTGTCCACCTAAGGTTCAAAGTAGTAACATAAAAGCTGTAGAGATATTTCACATCTTAATCTATAGGATAAAAGCAAATACTAGTACCCTGGGTACACATGAAGCCCATTAGGATCAAAAGACAGAACAGCTATTGCTGAGATAATGAAAAGACATACAGAATAGACGGTTCATCACTTACCTCACATTGAACCAAAGCAGAAAAGTCAGTATGGAACATAATAGGAAAGTGCAATCCTGAATAATGTTTAGCATTCTAGATGACAATCTCAGACCTAAAGACGTTCTTCATTTTTCAGCTTATCTCTTTTGTCTATTATTCATATCATTCTTCCCACCCCATGCAACATCCATATCGTTCTTCCCTCCCCGTGCAACACAGACAGACAAAAAATTTGGAATCTTACAACAATTTTATTTAGTTGCCACTATTTTAAAAATAGTGACATTTTATATAGAAGTTAAGGTTCTTGGTTTCTCTTGAAAAAGATGGAAGGTTGATAACACCATTCCTACACTCTCTTGATAAAGATCACTTCTAACTGAGAAGTACACACTTCCTAATTCTTTTATCTTTCCCAGTCCTCACTTCGTTGTTGTTAGGTGCCATCAAGTCAGTACCAATATATACATAGTGACACTATGCACACCAGAGCGAAACACTGGCTAGCACCAACTACAAAAGTTGTTGCTACATTTGAGTCCCTAGCTATTGCCACTGTGCAAATCCATCTTATTGAGGTCTTCTGAATTCTCTCCGACACTTCACTTTACCAACCACAATATCAACCTCTAGGTATTGGTCCCTCCTGATAATATATCTGAAGTATGAGAGGTAAATTCTGGCCATCCTGGTTTCCAAAGAGCATTCTGGCTGTACTTCTTCCAACACAGATTGGTTTATTCTTTTAGTAGACCATGGTACTTTGAATATTCTCCTCCAGCACCATAACTCAAATGCATGAATTCTTTAAAGGTCTGCCTTGTTTACTGTCCAATTTTCACATGCCTATAAGGTTCTTGAAAATATCATGGTTTTGGTAATGTTGGGTCAGATGCCCCTTATTCCTCAAACTGAAATCTTTGTTCCTCAACACTTTAAAAAGGTCTTGCCTAATGCAATATGTAATTTGGTATCTTTACTGCTGCTTCTATGAGTGTTGATGGTTGCTCTGATCAAAATGAAATCTTTGATAACTTCAATCTTTTTCCCATTTAGATGGATATTATTTATTGGTCTAGTGGTGAGAATTTTTGTTTTCTTTACATTAAGGTGCATCCCATACTGAAGGCTGCTGTCTTTGATCTTCATCAGTATTTTAAGTCCTCTTCACTTAAGCAAGCAAGGTTGTGTCATCTGCATATCACAGGTTGTTAATGAGTCCTGATCCCTTGTTTTTCTTCATATAACCCAGTTTATTGTATTATTTGTTCAGCATACAGATTGTGAAATAATACAACCCTGGATCACACTTCTCCTAATTTTGAACCATTGAGTGTTCCCTTGTTCTGTTGAAACCACTGCCTCTTGGTCTATGTACAGGTTCCTCATGATCACAATTGTTACACAATACTTGTCCTCTACAATGTTGTCCATAGCTTGTCATGATTCACACAAAGGGAATCTTTTGTATAGTCAATAAAACACAGGTAAATATCTTTCTGATATTCTCTGTTTTCATCCAAGATCCTTCTGACATCACCAACGTTATCCGTCATTTCACATCCTCTTCTGAATCCAACTTTAGCCTCTGGAAGTTCTCTGTAAATGTATGATTGCAGCTATTTTTAAATTATATTTAGAAAATTTTGCTTGCATAGGATACTAATGATATTGTCTGATGATTTCCACAGTCTGTTGGGTCACCTCTTTTCAGAATTGGCATAAATATGGATCTATTCTAGGATGTTTATTTTACTCTCAAAAATTTTTTTAAATTGATCTTAGCTTAAAGTATTTTCAGATATTAAATTATCAAAATTTAAAACTTATGTATAAAATGATGTTGTTATTTGTTAGGAGCAACCGAGTCGGTAATGACTCATAGCAACCTTATGCACAGCAAAACAAAACACTGTCCAATTCTGGGGCACCTGCACTATTGTTGCCATGTTTGAGTCCACTGATGCAGCCACTTGGCCAATCCATCTCGCTGGGGTTTTATTCTTTTTCTCTGACCCTCCACCTTACCAAACATGATATCCTTCTCCAGCCACTTGTCCCTCCTGTCTGAAGTATGAGAGACCAAGTTTGGCCATCCTGGCCTCCAAGGAGCACTCTGGCTGCACTTCTTCCAACACAGATCTGTTGCTTCTTTTGGCAGCTCATGGCACTTTCAATATCTTCTCCAACATCATAATTCAAAAGCATCAATTCTTCTACTGACTTTCTTATTTACTGTCCAGCTTTCATATACATATGAGGTTTTTGAAAATGCCATGACTTGGGTCAGGTGTACCTTAGTCCTCAAGCTGACATGTTTGCTCTTCAACACTTTTAAAAGGTCTTGTGCAGCAGATTGGCCCAATGCAAAGCATCGTTTGGTTTCTTGACTGCTGCTTCCATGAGTGTTGATAGTTGATCCAAGAAGAATGAAGTCCTTGACAACGTCAATCTTTTCTCCATTGAAAAGAATATTGTTTATTGGTCAAGTGGTGAGGATTTTGTTTTCTTTACATTGAGATGAAATCCATACCAAAGACTGTGCTCTTTGATCTTCATCAGTAAATATTTTAAGTCCTCTTCACTTTCAGCAAGCAAGGTTGTATCATCTGCATATCTCAGGTTGTTAATGAGTCTTCCTCCAATCTTTTTTTTTTTTTTTTTTAATTAAAACATAATCTGGCTTCTTTAATATGTATGTGTGAAATATATCTGGAAATCCAATATGATTTAAACAGAAATTAAACCAGAGTTAAACATTTTATTTTAAGAAGCATTTAACAAATAAAAAGAACTTTCAATATTATAGGTATTCTTTATTTCAGAGAGGAATTCTAACATCTATCTTGTTTTAAAGTTTAAATTGTATAATAAATTATGTTTCAAAAATCTTTACATAAGCATTCTATGTTACCCATAAATCATAAAGTATAACAACAGGTAGCATAGATGTGTATTTTTTAACCTAATCATTTTTAGACTTCTCTTAACAATAGTAAAAACCTACCATAAATAGAAAACAAATTTAACAATTCGCCCAAACATAGTTACATAAGAAGTTTTAAGAAACTGCAAATAATTCTTCATACTCTCATTTTCATTCTCCAACTTCTCAAGATTATGTTGTATTTCTTTCAAACATACTTCCTGATGTTGGACTTTACTGTTAAATTTGCAAACAAGGCGACTTTGTTCTTCATTTTTCTTTCTAAGCTCAGTTTCCAGATCTAATATTTTAATTTGTAAAGCCCTCTCTCTAGATGATATTTTCTCTATTTCTTCAGAAACCTTTTGTCTACCTTCTTCTAAAGCAGCTTCCAGCTGTCTGGCCAACGCTATATATTCTGCAGATTTCTCTTTAAACTTAACATTGCTGTGCTTCAGACATTCTTCTTGGTTTGCCAGCTTCTTTTCAAGCTCTTTGTTTTCTGCATCCATCTGTTCTAATTTTTGTTCAAGGGTTTCACACTTCAATTGAATAAGATAATTTTCCTCTTCCAGAGAAAGCTTTGTCAGAAGACTATGATTTCCATCAACTTTCTCTAATTTTTTATTTTTATTTTTTATTATTTGTTTATTTTCTTGTAGTAAGTGTTTACATCTGCTTTTCACTATTTCAGCTGCTGCTTGCAATTTCTGTACCTGAGTTTTATATACTTCAATAAGGGTTTTCTGCTGATTTTCTACTTCTTGCAATTCTGAAAGTTCATTTTCAACAGAAGCAGCCTTTTCCTTGAAAGTAGCAAGTGTGGTCTTTAATTTTGTATTCTCAAGATTGAGGGTTTCCTTTTCATATTCAATAGAGTGAAGTTTTCTAAGAATTTCTTCACATGAATTTTTCCCATGGTCTTCCATTTTCTTAAGGTCTTCCAAAAGATTAGTGATTTGCTTCTTTAGTGTTTCGATCTGAACTTCCAATTCGGTTTTTCCTATTATAACTTTCTCATAATGACTTTTCCAGGCATTGGAAGCTGAAATTGTTTCAGACAACTTGGCTTCCTGGTCTCTAATTTGGGAAGTAAGGTCTTCAGTGTTTTCTGTAAAATGTTTAATCCTTTGTTTGTAAGCTTTAGATGCCTTCTTCAGAGCTATAGTTTTTTGTTTACTTGACTCTTTGATTGCTACAGCCTCATGCTTATTCCTTTTTAACTGTAAATTCCATTTTGCTATCTTGATTTCTAAGCTCTTTATATATTCTTTTAACTTATCATTCTCTGCTTCCTTTTTATTAATTTGGAGTTGTAGTCTTTCATGCACTACTTTTACTGATTGTGAAAAACGGTTTGCTTTCAAAGCATTTTCCTTTTCATTCTGAAACAAAGTAGAAAGTTCTTGGATGTATGTCTCCTTCTCAAGTATCTTCTCCTTAAGATTTGAGTTTTCACTTTCATTATCAGTTAGCTTCTCTATTAACATGCTGGATAACCTGTCCCCTACTGAGTTTTCCCTTTCATCATCAGTTAGCTTCTCTAATAACATGCTGGATAACGTGTCCCCTACTTGTTTATTTTCAGTCCTTCTAAGCAGATGTTCTAATGCTTGCTTTACACGTTTAAAAGTATCTAATTCTTTTGTTAATATTTCCTTCTGTCTAGAAATCGTCAAATCAGATGCAGAAAGATTAGCATTTTCAAAACTAATCTTTTCGATGGTGTCCTTAAGTAAGGGCAAAACTAATTCCACAGTAAAGGATGCTCTTCCAGCTTCTTCCAGTGTTGCTTCCAGCGCAGTCTTTTCATTTACGATAACCGGCTTCAGGCTGCTGAGATCATTTTCACTGGCAGGCCGCGGTAGGTGTTCTTTCTCTGATCTACTTGTAAGATGAAAAAATAGTTCTTCTGAATGACTTCCATCGTGTGTACGCTTCTCCATAAATTCAGTAAATGGATTTACAGATGGCTTCTACAACTTCTTCACGTGAGCTGAAAGCTGTCCTCTCCTGCTCTGGGTCCTCTTGGACGGAGCGGGATACAATGGGTAGTGGGTGAAAGACTAAAAAGAAGAAGAGACGCGGGACAAAAGCAGGCGAATTCCTAGAATTACTTGCAGTGGAAAAGTACCCGGCCTCCTACAATGGGACAAAGCAAACTAGTCTTCCTCCAATCTTGATGCCATGTTTTTCTTCATATAAACCAGCTTCTCAGATTATTTGCTCAGCATACAGGTTGAATAAGTATGGTGAAATAATACAACTCTGTCGCACACCTTTCTTAATTTTAAACCATTTAGTGTTCCCATGTTCTGTTTGAACAATTGCCTCTTGGTCCATGTACATATTCCTCATAAGAATAATTAAGTTTTCCAGAATATTCATACTTCACAATGTTGTCCATAGCTTGTCATGATCCACAGAATCAAAAGCCTTTGTATAATCAATAAAAAAAAATAGGTAAACATCTTTCCTGTATTGTCTGCTTTCAGCCAAGTTTCATCGGACATCAGCAATGATATCCCTTATTCCACGGCCTTTGCTGAATCTGGTTTGAACCTCTGAAAGTTCTCTGTCAATGTATGCTTGTAGCTGTTTCTGTTCTACTTTTAGTAAAACTTTACTTTCATGGGATATCAAAGAGATTATCTGATGATTTCCTCATTCTGTTTGGTCACCTCTTTTTGGAATGGGCACAAATACAGATCTCCTCCAATCAGTTGGCATAGATGAGTGTGTGCCTCCTGTGCCACCTTACTTTCTTGAAAGATTTCAATTATAAAAATTAAAATGAATAACATTATAACTGCCTTTAATTAATATGCTTTTTCTAGTAGTTCATGTTGCAAAATTCTAAAGGAATCTCATTCTCTTTTTCAAATGATTGTGCCTTTAGAAAAATCAACTAGGTTTTTAATTTTGATTATTTAATATCTGAAAACATTTTAAACTAAAATTAATTTAAGTAAACTTTTTAGAGTAAAATAAACAACATAATTCACCAAAGATAAATCAGAAGTGATATGAGTAGCCATTGAGAAGTGACTAAGAGAACTCGTAGAACAACTTACAGTTTTCTATCCTTAACTAGTAACTATGGATTAACATGTAGCTTTTAACTACATGTACTGATACAGCAAATATATTCCATTTTGTATGGGGCAATATTGTTACATTTTTATCACTGTGTTTAACAGCCATTTATCAATTGAAGTTTGATAAATGATATTTGTTGAGTATTTAACTTCATGTTACTTTCTGAGTATACACTAGACTGATGATATGTAGCTTCCCAGATCCCCAATACTATGGCTGACCTCATCAACAGTTGAGATGCTATATTTGTATTTTTCAAGACCAATTCTCTCCTAAGGGAGAATCATTTTATAATTTAAGCCAGATGAATGAATGTCTGTGTTCGTATACCTGTGTTAGCTCTCCTAAACATGTTGTGCATTTTAAGGATGCTCCTAGACATGAAACTTTAATTCAAACATCAACTATAGTAGAAATTACCCTGAAGAAGAATGGAAGATATTTCTGAGTTGGAATGGACTTCTGGCATTTCTAAAAACTCACAATAAGAGATAAGTATTTACTTAATTGAAAGAAGATGATTGATCTAAGTCTAAATGGTTCTTAGACTTCATCAAGAGCAATTTTTCTCCCAGTCTCAAAGCTTAATAGTTTGGAAGTTAAAAAAAAAAAAAAAAAAAAGAATAAAGGAAATGCTGACCTTTTAGGATTGCTGAGAATCTTTGTGTGTATACTCTCATGTATCTAGAACTCTGAGGCTGAACTCAGCTGCAGACCTATACAAGTATGTTTTAGCTCGTTTTCATAGCATATTATATAGCAACTGGAAATGCACACAAATTTTATCAACTCTCAAGCCATACATTCAAGTTATTTTCCTTTTTTAACCTAGCTTAAAAATGAAGTTAAAAAAAAAAAAAAAAAAACAATCAAAAAAAAAAAAACAAAGCAAAATATATGTTTTCTAACCTAACAATAATAACAAAAGAAGGTTCTATATCGTATGTTGGTCTCTTTTTTTTAGCTTTCTGAAGTTATATTGTAGCTATATGAAATTCGTATTCTCCTTTTTCTTTTGGCATCCACTTATCTTTAGATTCCATTGATGATGCTGTTGGGATTTTAGCACATATATGGCTTTTTTCCAGTTATCGTCTTCATCTCTATCTTAAGTCCTCCAAGGTGACCTTATACTGGCAGAGGCACTGGCATGAAGAAAGAGTCTGTAAATACACATTGAAAAAACAAACCATCAAAGATTCCTCCACTGACTACAGACTCAAAAATACAATAATAAAAACAAAAAAATTTAAGCACTGGGGATAAAAAGACATCATGGAAGTATAACTTATTCAAAACTGCATATAAAAGAGAATTTTGACCTGAGTAGAGAAGAGATCTTCAGGTGTTCTTGTGGCAAAAAAGATTATAGCATCATCTGGTTGAATTCCCAAACACATTTGCTTCTTGGTTGATGAATACTTCTTATTAATTATTTCATTTGTATTTCAACAAAGCAGAAGTTATACTCTTCTTGCAACTGGGTAGTTGATGTCAATGAGGAGTTATTGCATTTTTATTGTGGGGTTTATTAGGGAAGCAAACAGGGTACAATTCAGGATCAGAAAAGCTCAGTTCTCTAGTCAGAAGTGCCTCTTGTCTACCATATTGCAAGCATGCCTCACTCTTGCCTTCTACCTCTCAGACACATGGTCCTTTTCCAGCATCCTTTTTTTTTTTTTTTAAGTTTTTATTATGAACTGAGTGAAAGTTTACAGAGCAGATCATTAGTTTTACATTCAATAGATCATATACTTTGTTTTATTACAATAATTATATTCTCCTCCATGTACCATCAGTTTACAGTATTTCTCTCTATTCATTTTAGCTCTTTTTTTTTTAAAAAACACTTAGGCATATTTAATAATTTAAACCAATAAGGGCACATTTTGCAAGCCTGCCTCCTGACCACTAACTCTCAGTACCTCTCTTTCCATGAGTCTAGAGTCCCCAGCTGCTCTCTCCACATCCCCATCTCTGCCTAGATCTCTAGTGTTACTGCTTCTCTAGATAGGGTCCCACATTCTGCTTGTGCTTTTCTCCTTTGGTGGTCCAAGGGCCCTCTATTACTGGACTGTAAGATTAACTATTCCCCAAAATTTTTTCTTTACAATTGTGACAGTAGCAATTAGTCATGATAAAAATGACTAATTATTGGATCATAAGAATCTTATCCCCATCTCTTTTCACCAGACCCATCTAGACCCTGGAATGAGAGATATCTTTGTTGTTGTACGATGGATCTTGGCTGAAAGCAAAAAATACCAGGAAAATGTTTATCTATGCTTTATTGACTACGCAAAGGCTTTCAATTGTGTGGATCATGACAAGCTATGGAAAACATTGCAAAATACTAGTATTCTGGAATACTTAATTGTGGTCATGAATAATCTGTACCTGGACCAAGAGGCAGTTGTTCAAATAGAACATGGGAACCATAAATGGTTTAAAATTAAGAAACGTGTGCGACAAGGTTGTATTCTTTCACCATACTTATTCAACTGGTATTCTGAGCAAATAATCCAAGAAGCTGGGTTAAACGTGGTTAAATGAAGTAAAACGTGGTGTCAGGATTGGAGGAAGACTCATTAACAACCTATGATATGCAGATGATACAACCTTCATTGCTGAAAGTGAAGAGGATTTAAAATACTTACTGATGAAGATCAAAGACCACAACCTTCAATATGGATTGCTTCTCAATGCAAAGGAAACAAAAATCCTCACCACTGGACCAATAAACAACATTCTTATCAATGGAGAAAAGATTGAAGTTGTCAAGGACTTCATTCTTCTTGCATCAACTACCAACACTCATGGAAGCAACAGTCAAGAAATCAAACGATGCATTGCATTTGGCAAATCCACTGCACAAGACCTTTTGAAAGTGTTGAAGTGCAAAGATGTCAGCTTTAGGACTAAAGGTGCACCTGATCCAAGCTATTGTGTTTTCAATAAGCTCATATGCATGCAAAAGCTGGATAGTGAATAAGGAAGACTGTAGAATAATTGATGCTTTTGAATTATGGTGTTGGAGGAGAAAACTGAAAGTGCCATGGGCTGCCAAAAGAAGCAACAGATCTGTGTTGGATGAAGTGCAGCCAGAGTGCTCCTTGGAGGCCAAGATGGCCAAACTTGGTCTCTCATACTTCAGACATATTGTCAGGTGGGACCACTCACTGGAGAAGGATATTCATGTTTGGAAAGGTGGAGGGTAAGAGCAAAAGAGGAAGACCTCAGTGAGATAGATTGGCAAAGTGGCGTCATCAACGGGTTCAAGAGTGTCAACAATTGTGATGTTGGCCCAGGACTGGGCAGTGTTTAGTTCTGTTGCTCATAGGGTCACTATGAGTCAGTACTGACTCGATGGCATTTATCAACAACATCTAGACAAGATGGAAACTATTCAGTGGGGACTCTATCTTCCTCCACATACTCTGAACTCCCTGTTGAAACTTTGTAAACCAGTCACTTCATGCCTTTATCATCCCCTCATTTTAGTGTTTATGTGGTGTTTATGTGCTGTGGAGTCGGAACCTACTCATAGAGACCCTGTAAAGGGTTTCTGAGGCTGTAAATCTTTACAGGAGCAGAACACCTCATCTTTCTCCCACAGAGCAGCTGATAGTTTCGAACTTCTGACCTTAAGGTTCTCAAACCAATTTGTGCCCATTCCTATCTACCCTGTATACAGTGGGGATAGATTGATACTTGATGTGAAGACTCCTTCCTTCTCTGTTGGTATTTTAGATACCATGATACTATGAGTATAGGTCAAATTCATCAAATTGTAGCCATTTATCCAGCTTTCCTTTATCAAAAAAATGTTCGGATTATCAAGCCATCG